TGAGCATAAAATACCAAATTGCATTTCTGCACATGTTTCTTTGTAAGCTTTGTCATATCTTGATTTATCTTTTTAAATTAGTCATCTGGATTATTTTTATTATTTTTAAAATAATATACTGATTGTAATTATTTATAAATACAAAAACATACAGAGCTATACTCAGAATCAGTAAAAACTTTGAAGATTTTGCTGTGATTTTTTTATTAGGCTATTATGCCTGTCAGCTTATAAATGAAAATGGCATGCAGACTTTCATCAGCAGTGTCTGAAAGCTATCTCTAAGAGACTGAATTTTTTATGGAATGACAAAAATGCACGATGTTTGGAAAGTTATGTGAACTTCGAATTGGAATTTAAGGAACATTGTATTCCCACCTCTGCTGTCTGCTCACCATTTATCTGATCTTGTGCAAGTTACTGCTTGGCATTTTACTAGTTTTTCTTTACCACTGCTTTTAGCTATGTGCTGTATCCTGCACATCGTACTTTGTGCAGGATATCCCACAACTGATTGATGTACTAAATCAAGTGATAGTAATGTAGACACATTCAGCAATGTCTCATTAATTTTCCTTGTTTTCCACTGGTCACAGAAATCTAATAGCGTTTTCAGAAGAAGGATCCGATCCATATGTGCGAATGTATTTATTGCCTGATAAGAGACGATCGGGAAGAAGAAAAACACATGTATCAAAGAAGACATTAAACCCGGTGTTTGATCAAATGTATGTTTTGAACCATGTGTAGTAGTTTAATATTAATGTAATTACAAAGCTTTCAAATCAAGGTTTCTCAGCTTACCAAAATAGATGGAGCTGTTGAAACTCATAGTTGTTACCACCAGACTTGGTCATATCTTTCTCTTCTTCTATAATAGCTCTTTCCATCATTCTGTTCCCTGTTATCACTATAGCCACATTACTCTGTTACCAGCCACATCTCTTTTATTTTCTATCATATCTTATATCAGTTATATCCCCTTTGTGCTGGTAGCTGTGCACTCTTCTGGCAGGTGGGAAGAACATGAGGGCCTTCTGGCTGGGCAGTGCTGTTGGTGTTCCCCCCTGTCAATTGTGGCTGATTGCCTGGCTGATGATGCTGCCTTCTTGGTGGGACTGGCCAGCCAGCATCTGTGCATGATCAAATTGTGCAGTCAGTCTACTCGGTGGCACTTCTTAGCACCCAGGGAGTCAGGAAGTTCCCTAGTAGATTACCCTGGCACATATATTGGAAGTTTTGCAAGCTTGCGCAACATTATATTACATAAAAATCCTTATCTTTGCACTCAGTTTCTTTATGGTAGTTATGCTCACACATGTACCCCTTCCTTCTCCACTTATCACTTATCAACAAAGATGACCTTTCTCTACAGGCAGAAAGTTAATCTGGGGAAAACAACATTTAAGTCCATTCTGTCTGAGAGAAATCTGTAAGCCATAAGTTAGACTCTCTGGTAGGTTTTCCTGGTGCTGCAGCTCTTTCCTGTTTATTCCAGCTAATAGATTTGTTTTACTGTGCCTTTCCAGGTAAAATGGATTGCAAAGCAATAAAGCTGTTTCAGAACTGTGGTGACAAACAGATGTAGATTGTGGTATAATCTTGCCCTCACTTTCTGCAAGTTTCAGGTCTAGTGAACAAAATGCATTCTTCCTTAAAAGTAAATAGGTTTCCTTGGTGTGCCAGGAAGGAAAAGGAGCTCTGGTTGTAGAGGACTGAGGATCACTAAGACTGAAGATCACTAAGACTGACCAGTCTTTCCCTTCTGGGGAACAGTGATACTGAGCTGTCAAGATATTAGGATTCCTTATTCTCTTCTCTGTAGAGTCAGTGGTTGACCTTTTCCTTTTGTTGTTTTGTTTGGCTTTTGTTTATTTGTTTTGTTTGACAAGTGGCTTCTAGAGACCAATGGTAACAGGAATCTCAAACATTTCATGTTGATATTGATCAGAGTATTGAAGAAAAATTTTAGGCAAAACATTGGAATTTTTTTCTTAATTTATCTCAGACCTCATTTTTTAGTTTGGGTAGTGGGATGGTTTGGTTATGATTTGAATTGTTGTTTAACTGTAGTAACTGAACTTGCACTTTCAGGTCCAAAATTCTCTCTAAAGCATCACTTTGCCTGTCAGATTTGATTTCAGTGTTTCCCTGCCTGAAGTACAGAGAAGAACACTAGATGTAGCAGTGAAGAACAGTGGTGGTTTCTTGTCCAAAGATAAAGGGCTGCTCGGCAAAGTAAGTTGACAAGAAAATTCTGTTAATACAGCATGTTATTATGTAAGACTAAAATCCTCTTGTGATACGAGTTTGTTGACTAAAGCACCCGATCCAGGTATGAAGTTTTAAAAAATTATAGATGGCTTAGGTGTCAAGCTTCAGTAAGGGAAGGAATGAACTGCAGAGACAGACATCAGAAGATGAGGCAGAGATCTCTCTGGGAAATGGTAAGTTCTGAGGCTCGCAGTCACAAAAGAAACCTGGATGTCAGACTTAATCGTACGGACAGAGAAAGAAAATAACCAGTAGAAAACAGCTGATACTTCAGAAAATGTTCAGACAAAAATGGAAATATGAGCAGGAGTACTTAGAGAAGCACAAAGAACAAATGCTTGTTTAGTAATTTAAATTCCAGATTGTAAGAAAGATGAGAAAGAACTGTTATTTCCTACACCCTTGTAAATTGCCACGTTTGAGCTCTGTAAAGAGGATGAGAGATATCAGAATCATGGTCAGTTCATGGTTAATGATGCTCTTAATTTTCCTGTTTACCAGGAAGGCTGTTACCATAAATACGTCAGCTGATTGCCATTGCCAAGATATGCCATGTTCAGTGTTAAAGCCTGTGAGCTGCTCTGGGACTGGATCACTAAAGGGTATAGATTTTTAGGTCAAAATTAGCAACTTGAAACTTTACTACAAGTCAGGCAGATGGTGGATAGCTATGATGACAAGAATGTAAAATACATTGTTTTATTAATGGCATTACTCATACTGTAGTTTACAGGATTGTTAGAATGGATCTTTAAAAGGCATAGAATGAAAGGCACACATAATGTATTGATTGCTAATTTAACTTTCTACAGTTACTAATACCTCTGGCATCTGAAGAACTTGCTAAAGGCTGGACCCAGTGGTAAGTATAATATTTCCTGTATTAGTAATAATGCTACATACTAATAACTGGTGCGTTAATAATAGTTTTAATAATACATGCTAAATTGAAAAAAAAATCCTTTGTTTTTTTCATTTTCAGGTATGATTTAACAGAAGATGGTACAAGGCCACAGGGTGCAAGTTAGGCCCGTGGATACTGGGAATTCCCCAAGCATAATTTTGCCAACCTTTATATATTTTTAAAGTGTTGTTCTCACAGATGTACCAATATTATTTTTATAGCTTTACTGATTTAGTTCTTAGACACATCTCCAATAATTTTATAACACTCGGTCATTTTATGTAGACATAGCCTTTCTCATTGTTATACTTTGTATTTTAATTTGCTAAGCATTTTTTGTGTTACTGTAATGTGCAATAGTACAGTAAAGTAACCTTTTGTGTCTAAATTGATCTTTATGACGGCTGTACCTATCAGAAAGTGAAAAGATTATGTTCTGCTGTTTTCCTGCCTTGTTTTTTATCTCACCAAGGTATACTGTACCGTGTAAATATATACTATTTTTTTATAATTCTTTCATGCTGGTTTGAATTCAGAAGAAAATCAGATAAAGGATATAGATATTTTCTTCTAAATGCATGTTAATTTCTTCAGACAAATCTCTTTTGTCTTTTCAGCACAAGGTCTTAATCATTTTGTGATATTATTCAAAACAGACTGCAGAAAAAAACATTTTTACTTAATTGTGTTTCTGGCCCAGTGTGGCTAGCTTAAAATGTACAAAACATTAACATTTTAATATTTATATATAAATGTATTATTGGAAAATAATGCTATAGAACATTATAAACAAAAAAAGAGAATTCTATAAATATTGTATAAATAGAGGATGAGGTCCACAAATCACAGTTTCTAAATCTTGAGTTTTCATTTGATGGAGTAATCATAACAAACAGTACAGTTTTATTATACAGGTTCATTTGGATTTCGTTATTTATTCCTGTACTCTCTAGTACTAGTCATGGGACCTTTTGAAGGTATGAGCACATGGATTTTTCTGTATTATAAACAAAATCTCCAACCACTTAGAACTGTCCTTGCTGCCATGTTTCACTGATTTATAAGGTATACAAATCAGCTTGTAATGTCAGTTCATATAGTAGGCATACATACAAGTTATTATTTTTATTATACAAGACTGTACTAAATAGTATATTACACTGTACCTTCTATGATACTAAAATGGAACACCAATAGATAAAGTGTGAAACTGAGTTGAAATGGTCTGTCTTTACAGTTGCTTCATTGCTACTTAGTGTATTTGGTGCATGAAGAAATGCACCTCAGTGGCATTTTGAGTAACAGCGGCATCTACTGAAGTATTGCCATGGGCTGCTGCAGGACTGCAGCAGTGATACCTACAATTAGCACAAACTGATAAAAGTAGGCAGGTGAGAGTTGAAGTGAGAGTATCAGCCTAAACAACTGAGCTCTTAACTCCAATTTTATGAATTATGGGCAATTTTTTTGTATTTGGAACTGATTTTTCTTTTTCTGGTAAGTTTTCTCAGACTGTTACAAAAATGTGCATTAAGAATCCAAGAGATCAGTTCAGCTCTTCTAGAGCCAATGGCCTCATTCTTGGATAAGTATGCAGTTAGACAGACAAAGTATATTATTTAGCTAAGATTCTAGAATGATGTCTCAGCCAAGAAATAATTTTAAAGCAGAATAATAAACTCCTGAAATTAGCTTTATTGTAAGATTACTGACGGAACCTTAATTCTAGATGTAGAATATGCCTACATTACTAGATGTACCAAAGTGCCTACCATAGACGTAGCTTTTTGTCTTTTTCAAGTTTAAGAATTGACTCATTTGAATTTGTCTAAATTTGGTTGAACATGAACATTTGTCACGGATGTGTGTGACACACACACATACACCTCTATACAGTGATGGCCTTCTTATTGCCACATTTTATACAAGACAATTTTAGCAAACAAACTTAGATTGTAAATTTTGCTGCTGTTACTTTCTGATGGACTGGGCAATAGGGAGAGGTTCTTTGTAAGGAAATATTTGGAGAGGTTCTTTGTAAGGAAATATTTCCATTTGAAGGCTTCACTCTATATTGGAATGTATGAGTATCTATATTTATATATGCACACACACATCTGTTCATATAAAATGTAATATATTATGAAATACATATTTTCTTTGCTAATTTTCCATTAAAATATCAAGAATGGAAAGACAGAGAATTGTTGTTATTGCAATAAAAATGCAGAAAGCAAAAGCTGATCTAAATAAAGGAGGCCTAAGTGCAGCAGTTCAGCATAATTGGTTTTTTGCCTTCGTTCAGACCAAGGTAGAAAGACTTTTGCTGTGCATCTTGGCCAGTGACTCCCCAGAGTTTGATCCATAGCCAACAAATGGGGTGTTAGACTGATTCGGTGTTTCAAGTCTTAAAGGAAGTCTGGGGACATATGTTAGAAAACTCTGCACTTTAAAAAAGTGCAAATTTTGTCTTTTCAAGTCTCAAGGGGGAAAAGTGCTGTGTTCGGGTAAATGTGAGATAATAGCACAAAGTGAGTGATCAAATCAAGTATATAGGACAGGTTTCCAAAATAGCTCACAACCTAAAATTAGGGATAGGCTCTTAAGAGAGCCCAGTTCCTACTTAGAATGTAAAATGAAGAGATGAATGGTGATTGTAATTCAGCTACAGTAATTTCCATTGGTTGTAATCAGTCCTGGGTGCCAGGCTCTTTAGAAATGATCTGAGTGAATCTGGATCAGAATGTGACTGCCTCGGTGAGATTGATTCTTTTGATAGTGAGAACAAACCTCTGTATCACAGTTACCAAATTCTGATTGTCCTGTTTATATGGAAGTAGGAAGGATGAACATCATTTTTTCTCTGGGCAAAAATTGCACCTCATTATCAAGTCAATGTATTCAATATCAACGGATAGTTTTTCATGTAGTTCTTGTTTATCCTGTGCCTTAAAATACAAACATATGGAGATGTTTAAGAAATGGCTAAAAGTAAGCTTTGTTACCTGTATGTACCAACACATGTTCTCTACTATTGAAACTGTTTTTAGAATTACTCTGCTTCACTGACAAGAAAACCAGCTTTCTTAATCATAGCGGTGGTATAATTCGAACTCAAATCAGCATGCGCATCACTTGGATCTGGATTAAAAGAATTTTCATTTTCTGTCTTGAATCCTCTATCAGAGCTGCAGCAAATGGTGAGAGCTGAAATGAGAATGAAGGGTGATCAATTTTGTACAGATTGCCTTTTTTGCTCATGTAATTCTACATTATGATGCATGTATTTATTCAATAAATGGTTCTCATATGGAAGTCGGTGTGTTGCTTCCCTCTACACACACACACTCCCTTTCCCCCTCTTTTGCATATCCCCATCCTAATTAGTAATGCCATGAGGTGAATTTTTAAAATAGTCATGTAGCTGACTACTTTGGGTAGCCTTGCTGTTAGGCATGTAGGCAGATTTTGGGGCTCTATGTGAGAGAAAGTGGAGTGAGAAGTACTGGATACTTCACTGGGGAATTCCTTGCTGCTTGATCTGGAACAGACTCGCACATAGGAATTAGTAAGTCCTTTGTTCAACTTAAGTGTCCAAAATTTTTCTTTTAAAATGATCATTTGAACAAATTGTCATGACTCTAGCACTTACTCATCGTCATGAATTACATTTTCAAAAGGACTTAGAACTGTATGTAATTGCCTCAGATTTAGGACCATCAGATTTCTACATGGGGCAGTCTTTCCACCTGCTTGTTAAGGCAGATACAGAGAGAAAATACACCTGCATACTGCATAAATAAGAAAAGGGGTATTGGATCCTCTATTACAGGAAAACTAACATAGAAATTATGCTGTTTGAATTAAACATTAATATTAATTAATTATAGTAGTATAATTAATTATGATACTCTTCTCTTAAACAGTCACAACTTGTCTGAATTTCAGTTTTCATCAGCCATAAATAAAAGCTGCAGTAATAGCTGTGCACTGTCACAGTTAGCAAGGGAACCTACTGGATAATCTTTATCGATACTACAAAATTATGATCAGTTTTGTTTGTTTATTTTTTTCTAGAGGTGATATCTTTCTTTTTTAGCAGAATAAAGGGCTTCTGCTAATCAATGGGCAGGCAGCTAAAGCCAAGTAAACGTGTGCCCATCCTCCTAACTCCCTGATGGCAAGGAGTTTCTGGATGGGACACTCCTGGCAGTGCGAGTACTGATCAGCATTTTCCAGACTTGGATCAAAACCCAACATTTCATTCAGTCCTGCAAGACAGGTGGTAACTGGATCAGCTCCTGCAAAGGAATGCTGCCTGTGTATTCACCAGATCTTGTTAGAGAGCAGCCATAATTGTGCAAGACACTCCTCCAGATGGATTTGGTATTAATTTGATAGGCTCAGCCAAGCCTAAACTTTTTGTTAATATTTGCTGTACTGTTTAAACAGTTTTGGGCTATCATTTATTTCTTCCAGTCTCCATCTAAGAGTCATATTTGCCAATACAGTTACTGGTATGCTTATTTTAGGTATTTTCTCAGCTAAGAGCTGAATACAACATTGGTTTCCTATGCGGTTTCTGTTTTAATTGGTTTATTTATATTGTCTTCCAAATGAACTCTGAATGTTGGATGGTATCTTTGGTCTTTGATAGAAGGAACCAAAACTTCAGATGGTCCCAGACCTGTTTGTGGCTGCAGCTGGCTGCTGAAGGAGTTGGACTATTCAATCACAAATGGTGTTTTTGTACATCTTAACAAAGTGTCTTAACTTTCTTGTTGTATGCTCTCCTGCTGATGTCTGAGGCTGTCAGTCTCTTGACAATATTCTCAGCCACCTTCTGAAATATATTCTTTGAAAAATGCAAAGCAGCTGAAGTAAAAAATCCACTTGTTTTTCTTTCAATGTTACGCAGTGAATTTAGCTGCCAGAATAGACAGCAGCTCTGGGAGGAAAGCTCTCTAATCTGTATTCATGTGATAGAGGTGATGCTCTCTGTTCTCGCTGTCTGCGGGGAATATTGCTTGCCAGTCACTGTGGAATCCAATGTGAGCAGACAACTGCACATCCATTTCCTCAGATGCTACCGAAGTGACGCCAGCCTGTCTACCCCTGTTGTTT